TGCTTCTCTCCAGCAAATTATGTCACCTAAATAAGGAGACTGCCTCATTATTTCTGATTTAGCAGTACTCTGGAATATGAAAATGAAGCATATAGAAAATGAAGCATATAGAGTTGAATTCAGTTTCTTGGACAGGACATAAGCATAACACAGCTGAAACTGGATAAAAAAAGTCTGGAGACCCTGTCTCCTTACTTAGCTCTGCTCCATTAACCAACTGGCCAGCACTAGGGTGAACATAAGCAGGAACTTGGGTGTGTGCATAAGTAAACATTTTGTCACTGTTATGTACCTTTCACATGGCTGAAACTAACTGTGAGAAGTCTTTCAGCATTCATCACACAACAGTTTAAGATCTTAGGAGGCTAAGCAGAATACACACTCTGAAAAGAGAAAGATTAGAAAATGCAAACATATTTCAACATAAAAAAATAGCCAAGTAGTGAGAGCAGGTGACCTCTTAATAAAGGACTTTTACAGACACAAGAGTTATATTAAAGATTCTTTTAGGGAGGTGGCATATGCCAAAATACTTCTAATAATACTTCAAGAAATGGAAAACATTACCTTGTGCTTAGGTCTTACAAGATCCAATAGGCCTGTTCTTAGAGGCTGGACAGATTTCTGCACTCTGACAGGATTAAAGACTCCTGTTTATTTTATAGTTAACTTAGATTTAAAAAAAAAAACCCAAAACACACACACTCAAAACCAACCAACCAAAAAAACCCAATCAAATTCAAGTTCTATTATTAGAGGCATGAACTATGATCATGGATGTATGATCAAGCAAAACAAAAAACCCATCCTTCTCTAAGTTAGACACTACAGACACAAACTCGTTAGTTTCGATAGCTCTTAGTGACACCTTGCTATCAGAACTCACATAAAGACAGAAATAATATACTAATTTAGACAAATGTACTAATATTGGGCTTTTTTATTTATATGTATTTAGTCCATATTAGTACTTAAAACTTCACTCTGAATATTTAAGCTTACTGTAGCAGCAAGACTGACACAGGCCTAAGACAGCAACAGGCATTCTAGGCAAAAAGGCCTTTCCCAAAAGCAGGAGGTTACAGAACTCTACAGGGGCCATACTGGCTTATGACAACTAACATGCAAACCTGTCTCTGAAACATTTCACAAAGAACACGATCAATTGCCTGGGGACCCTTGAAAACCTGTGATCATAAACTGCTGCAGGCAGTTTGTAATTCCCAGATGGGGGGTTAGAAAAAACACCCTAAATATCAGTAGTTTCCTTGGGGTTTATTGCTCATTTCCATTGATTCCTTTTGTGATATCAATCTCACCATCAAAGTAACCTTACTGTAACTGAAGATTCAGTTAATCATTATTTGTACTTTAAACTTCCTTCCCAGTTTCAGTCACGATATGCTTACATTTTATCTGAAAAACTGAATCCAATTCTCTTAATTCCATTTAAGATTTCAGATTACTCCTAAATCAAAAATAATCCAGGGGGATTTATTTTAAATTTAACCATTCTTAAAATTAGCCATATTCCTAAATGCTCTGTGCCAGTTCAGCTTAAATCAACCAAATCAAGATGATGCAACTTTTGAAAACATTCAGTGCTGTGCCCAAGAGGCTCGGCATTTCCCCAAGGAAGAACAGGTGCACAACCCTAATCCTATTTTGCATCAGTAACCACAGACACAACACTGCAGTGTTTAGTGCAAAGCTCACTGCATGCCACAGGATCCTAGTAAGATTCAGCCTGAGGAAATCACTATGAAGAAAATGGAACAAAAGTCTACAGAACAGAGAAGAAAGAGATGAACTCTAAAAGCCAGGAGAAAAGCTAGGAACAGCAAGACATTGCAATGTGTGACTGTCAAGATCCGACTTCAGAACCCTCACAGATCGACTAATATCAGCAACTTCATTTTTGTATACAAATTTTATCAATAATAAGTGAAATGCTCTTAAAATTTATACATGGCAGTTGAAAGTTAACCTCTGTCAATTGGGGAGGGTAAGTGACATCTGATTTTTTTTGTTCGGGTACCTACAAATAAACAGGACATTCTGCCATTCTGGAGTTACATATTGGAGAAACTATTTTTTCTGAAAAAAAAAAGTAATATATGCTTTTTTGCTATAAAATTCTCTTGTCAGAATGAATGCAGTGAAGGTCTCCTGATTACCAATGCTCATTATTTTCTGATTATTTAAATCCAAACACTGTTTCATTAAGAACCATTCTATTTGCAATGATCACCTCAACAGCCTCAGACACTGACAAACCATTTCTTCTATACAACAGACTCGACTCCAACATTTTTAAATGCCATCAGATTGCAAGCAGGATCCACCTGACAGACAGTAAGCAGAAAGTTTTACTCAGCAACCACAAGCATGATCTCAAAGCACAATAGTCCTCTTATTTTACAGATACTGCATGTATGTTAGCTAGAGGGTAAGTATCATGTTTCCCTAAAGCTGAGTTACTTTTACTTCATATTTTGGTCTTATTAAAATTCCTAGCAACAGCCACAGACTTCCAAAATCAGTTATATTGGTAAGAAGTACTTTGTTCTCTTTATCACCCATATCCCCACAAGATCTGCTCTGGGGAAGAGAAGCAGTGGTAGCTGTTAGTGGTAACTTCAGCAAGCATCCTCACACAGGAGATGCTTGTGGTTACCAACGCCCTGGAGCCTCACTAGAACAGCTGGGTTTCAGGAGAGTTAAGAAATCCAGAATAGACTTTCTGTTACAAACATAACACAGAGCTATCTGTGTTACATAAAACTTTCGCATTAGCAGCTCTTAAGGTCTTCAGCATCTGCTGGGACAGTGGTGCCTGGATGCCTGGCATTCTTAGTGTGCACAGCATCTTTGGGGACAGTGGTGTCCATGGTACAAACAATTCCCCCAGCAGGGAGAGATCTCTGAAGACAGTGGACCTAGTGTTACATTAATCTTCGCAGCATCTGTGCAGACCAGTGCAATACCACAGCCATACTAAATAATATGTCACAGCATCTGTATTGTCCACTCGCCACAAACAGCATCAAAAACTAGCACAGGCCAACAGCCCACCAAAATTAGGGAAAAAATAATCCAAACAGAAAAGGCCTGCCATTTTATTACAAATACCTCTATCTTCAAAGACCACTTCTGTTCCAGGAGATTTAAGAGTAATGAGCCATTTCTTCAAAAACCTTCTTCTACATTTTCTGCTCCTTTAAAAAGGTTACTTATTTTTTAAATCTGTCACTTGTTTCAATATTTATTTTGTTAATCCTTAAAAATCAATTCCCTACTTTTCAGTCTTCATACCATTAACATACTATACTCAAACTGTAAATAAATAACTCCAGGCTTTAGAATTAAAAATACCTAAGATTAAGTCTCTTATTCAGCTCTTCAAGAGCCAGAGAAGTATGTGTGTGGGCTGAGTTTTTTGCATTGATAAGGAAATCTTCAGTTTTTCACTATACAGTATCCCTGATAGAACACTTCTGATGTCTACTTGAAACATTCAGTTCTGAATTAATTTCTGTCTTACAGTATTACAACTACAGCACACTTTTACAATGCAGAAAAGGAGATGCTTATCAACACGCCATCCATGGCTCAATATTTAAAATACAGGAGTAAAAGCATTCTATATTGAGATTACCAACTGGTGACTTAAAAAAAATAATCTATCTTTGCTCTCTTCAAGTTGTCATTTCTCCATTGTGCAAGTTCACTTCAAGGACAGCACAGAAATCTACTTCATGAGGGGCCTTTATCACCTTACTATTGTTGTCCCCTTAGATTTTCACCTAAAGTTTCTCCCAATCACCACTTGATTTATCCAATGCTCTCTAAGACCAACATATTATCCAGGGTACACTGGAATATTTTTGTGAAGGACAGAGACAAGCATATGTTTTTCTGTAGAATGTGAATCTCTGTCTAATTTTGAACTAGCAACCTAAAAGGAAAGAAATATGGAAGCAAGCACATTGATCTTTCTAGTAAATTGAGCCCTAGATTATTTAAGATAGGGCAAAATAAGGAATAATAGTTTCACAGCGAGAAAATATTTAGGCTATAGAGCCTCAAAAAACCTGCCTTGTCAAATAATAATACATCTAAGTAACTGCATTAAATATAATTTTAAAAAGCAAATTGATTTTGGACAAAGTATTTAATAAATGTGGTTTATAGTGAAGCCTGCCAAAACTCCTGTAAGGCCTGGTGTCTCAGATGAAGAACTACGCACCTGCTCAGTTTATGCTACTGCTTCTACGGAACCATTCACTTGTATAATTAACTGGGCATAAATTAAAAGCTGTCAAGTGGTTTGAGGACAGATGTTTGATTTCCTACGTGTCCAAATGAAACAAAATAAAATGCTTAGAAATAGACTAAACTGAACAAGAGATATTCTACATTGTATCCTAGTTTTATTACTTTGCCAGAAGACTATGGATTAACTACTTTTCACAAGAATTTAGAGATAAATTGACGCCAGAAACCACACAACATTAAAAGAAATGCAACCTGCCACTAAGTCAAAAGTTTAGTTTAGCAGCAGTTCAGGAAGTTTAAGAGTGGCTTGAAGAAAGCAGACACACAATAAGGAAAACACCCCCAAACCTACAACAAAAGACCTTTACAACAGCCTTATAATAATACTTTCTCTTCGTGAGCTGAAATCCCATGTTTTGAAGCCCCCTCCTGAGCAGCTAGGTATGTGGTACTGCTCTAAGAGGTATGTACGCAACTGCCCACACCAAAACCACAGAATTTTACTTTCAAACTAGGTAAGTTCCACGTTGGCAAGAGAAATCAAAACAGCAGGTGCCCTCCCAAGCTAGAGGGGCCGCTAGAAACGGGAGCCCACAAGCGTGGAACTGCTCTTCGCAGTGTCTATCCGGCCGACAGCCGCAGGTCTCCTATGAAAGAGGGTCTCCAAGCGGGCACCTGTGGTACGCCACGCTCTCAAGCCACCTATGCCGCTCCCAACTTACCTACTCAGCCGTATATGCAAAATCTTGCACTGCTGGCAGATCGTCCTCCAAAGGCAGCTGGAGTCGTTTTTGGAGCCTCAGGGCTCCTGGGTTTGGGCTCTGCAGCTCCTTACGGGCAGACACTCCCACCAGTGAGGCAGCAGCACGCAGAAGCAGCTAGAAACTTTGCCACAATCTCTACCTTCCCCTGCAATTTGCTCCTCTCCCAGCCTCAGCCTCTTCTCGCTCCTGGCGAAAGGGACCGGCTCTAAGGGCGGCGGCGGAAGCGACACTTCTCGCGGAGGTTCCCTGCCTCAGCAGTGCCGCAGCTGGAAGGGCTCTCCCGCTGGAGGGC